AATGCGGCCAAATTGTTTGTTTGTTTATGTTTTGTTTGTTTTGCTGTTTTTTTTTTTTTTGTTGTTTGCTTTTTGCAATTATTACGACAATGCAGCAGAAATATTGTGAATGACAATAACCGCAATTGCGGGGCTGGGCTGATGTGCGCGCATAATTAAACCAACAAACCTTTGGTGTCATTCAATTGAATGTTGTCCTGCTTTTGATGAGCACCTGCCGAACCGTAATGAGTGCCTCGCTGTTTGTGCTGTTTACCTTTGCGTTTTTGTGGCGTTTTAATTAATAAATGCAAACGTTTGTGCCTGCCGCTGCGCAGTTTATATTGTGGTCAAAATTAGCGACCGACTGCAGCGGCAACTGTATCAATGGGCTACTAATTAACTGGCCTAAAGTGCAATAAAACAAAAAATAAGCAGGGATGTAAAAAAAAGTGGCTTATATATGTGTGTGTGCATATACGCTATTTAGACATTAGAGTGCGCGCTATACTCTGTTTGCGTTAAGTTGAACGCAAGAGTTGTCAGCGAACCAATCACAAATGATTAGTTGTGAGCTTAATTGCAATAATTGAGTCGTTCAGGTATGTTGCTGACTTGATCGAGGTAATCAGAGTTCAGGATGAACTCTTTGAGCGAGAAGTTGAGCTTAAAATATGCTTTATCGAATAGGTTCCAGTGGACCAGATGTATTGTATTGTATATAAAGATTCAATCAAGGAGAACTCTTTGAGTAATAAGTTGAGCTTAATATAAGTATGCTTTATCGAATAGATTTCAGCGAGGCAATCGGCGACTAGCTTATGTATTGGGTGAAACATGTACACAGGGCGAACTCTTTGATGAAAAGAGCTTCAGAGTAAAACTATTCGTGTTGAGCTTAATATACGCTGAGTCGACTAGATTTCAGCAGAGCCAATCAGAGATCAATTAATTAGCTTTAATTGAGTCGATTAGTTGTTGAGCTTCAGCGATGTCGTTGTTAAAATGGAAACCAATCAGAGTGCAGCGCAATGCTTGCAGCAAGTAAATTAATTAGCTACAGCAATCTCTTTGAAATGTAATTTTTACAAATTAGAAAATAAATAAAATAAATTGTAATTACAGGCTGCAGTTACGCAAACACACGAGCACTTCATATATGAGTGCAGCTTTTGAGTTTCATTTTGCCCTAGTCTAGCGCCACGAAGCATGCAATGTTTTTGCTGCTGCCGCGAACTTTTGCAGCTTCCACTTGCTGATCTCTTTTTTATGTTTAATCAATTCAAAAGCAGCTACACACACACACACACACACACACACACACACACACACACACACACACCCACCCACACACACACACACTTACAGCATAGTTGTTGTTGGCCTCGGTTTATTGGTGCGGCACGTACTTCAGCTGAGAGTTTGTTTGTGGGCGGTTGAACTACTAGCGGGGAGCTGCAAATATCGTTGAGTACGTTGAAAATCAACTTTGGCGCGTAATTATTTCAGCATTAAGCCACGAGCTGCAACAGCAATAGACAGACACAGCAAGCAACAGGGAGAAGGCAACTTTCAGCACAAAAAACAACAAGTCAACGCAAAAGTTGGGCATCAAATTTTGCGCCAATCCCGACCCCGGCATCTTCCCTCACTTCAGTTTTGGCTCTAGTTATTGTATCTTTCTCCGCTGGCAGATGGGAATACTATAAGTGCTTTCAAGTCGACTTATTTCGCGCGTTTTCATTAGAGACGACTGCAAAAATACTTGTAATAAACAAAAGCAATACAAATATAATGTGTGCTGGGTGACAGGCAGATACCCTGTAGCCTTTCATCAAATTCTCACCAAGATGAGCTGCTAAATATACAAGATCTAATTGCAAATTGGTGCGTTTGTTTTACATCAAAATACTAAGGTTGAACGGATTTGTTTGTACGAATAGAAAAATGTTATTGCATATCGATTTTTATCGATATGTATATTTGATAAAATCCAAGCTACAAAAAATTCAAGTTAACTTAGTCGCTCATATAGAGTTTTAATTATAATCTTGGTCTTCTATGTGCTTAGCCCAAAGAAAAAAATTGGAATATCGATAATTATCGATTTTTTAAGTCGAGACAAGCTGCGCTTGTTTAACCTAAAGCTACACAAAAATGTTTTGTTTTGCAACTTAAGAATAAATTAGTTTTGCATATCGATTTAGTTATGTTTATATTTCATTTTCACAACTTCATGTACCCTAGTTTTGTAATATTCACTGTACACAGGGTATAAGAAATTATCTTTTCTGCTAATGCATGGCTTACCCATTTACTTCCCTTTTTTTTTTATTATTTTCGTATGTTTTGAAATAAGTATTTTGTGGTTTTATTTTTATGTGAAAAGTGGCAAATTAAAAGCATTTTCATGCCCAAAAACAATAGACCATTCAATGGGCCCGCCTTTGCGCGCCTGATTGCCCAAATGCGGCTTAGGGTTTCGGATGCTTTCAGCTCATAATGTGGCCAGTCGGAGCCTCTATGTCTCCCAAGCTCCCCTCCTTCCCGGGCAGTTATTTAAGCCAATCGTTTGAAGGGGACTCGACGACAAGAATGCAAGATACACATTCAACTGCCAGCCACATTATTTACATACTCGTAATATTTGCCTTGAAGTCGTCGGGCAAAGCTTTTGTGCATTTGGCTCTTTGGCATCGAAGTGAAACACTAAACCTTTTATGGGGCACTATGTCCGAACAAAAGCCTTTAAAATATTCATAGAATTGCTTTAATAACGCCAAATGAGCAGGGCCAGTCAGCTATCAAATTGACTCTATCTATTGATGGGCTAGGCTTTGCGGCCAGGGGGTGTGGTAGGCGCCCATCCACACAGGTTATGCGGCAAAAAGCAATTTTTATTTACCCCCAAAAACATTTGGTGGCACAAACAGTGGGAAGTTGACTGATTGGCGCAGGCGGGCAACAACAACAAGTGTGGCGTCCATCTCAAGACGTGGCGCCCGAGCAGTTGGTATGCAAATCAGAGGGTGCGCCAGGACGACGACGCCGACGACAGTCGAGCAGGAAGTTGATTAAATGACAAAATAAATAGAAAGTGAAGGATAATGTCAACATTCTAAGTGGTTTTCTTTTAAAAAGCTTAACTGACAATGAACCGCAGGGCAGCCAACGAGCGACCGCCACGGCTCAAGTTTGAATAAATTATTTTCTGTGTCTGGCGGCCAGAAGACGCGACGACCGTTGCGGCGGCTGAAACTCGACCCAAGCCCGTCCCCCCGTCTTCCCCGCCTACCCATGCCCGCCCGCGAGGCATTGACTTGTGCCCTGTGTTTGCGCGGTTGCCCGGCAGGAAATTGACTTTGATAGTGCATGAAATTTGATGATATCGCCGCGTGCTGAAATTATTTCACGTTTTCCTGATTTTCATTTATGTGAAGGCAGAGCCTTAAGTGAAATACATTAAATGTGGGCATGTTTTGTATGACAACAAATTATATATTATTATTATATATTATAACAAGGCAATAACATGACACAAGGATTGGCAGAGGACTGCCTATATCCTGCATTCTTCGGCTCATTCCGGAAATGTACGCGATTAAAATATAAAATATTCTGTTTTCCATGATATTTGCAAAAAGCTCAGCATTTACGAGCTTTAATATTCTCACATATGCGCAAAATCCCTAAGTTAAATGTCTACGAGGGAATTGAATCTTCGGCGAGACGAAAATATTTTTAAATTGCCGCTTTTTTCATAAGAAATTTCTAAATAAAATGAAAAGACATTTAACTACACCCATGAACTAGGCTGAACTCATCTTACTACCAGTCCCTCCCCTTTTGTATACACTTTAATTGCATTTTATAAACTTTTGCAAATGTACGAAGAGATATTGTGGCAATTGTTTTTGTGCTCTTGTGTTTTAAGGACTTGTAGTTTTTGGCACTGTGCCTAATTGGTTTCGAGGACTGCCGCGATGTGTCAGCATCCGGCGTTTGATATACTGTCCAGAACAAATGCCGGCGACACATGTGCATCATTAAGCAACTGGCCCAGCGCCAGCTACGACTCGCTAAGAGACTGATGTCAGTTCACAGCAGTCACAGCCAGCAGAAAGGGGCTAAACAAGCCGCATATGGCCCACTTGCAGAGCGAACAAAGTAAATGTAATGCACTCGCAAAGGGTTCGACTGTGAGATACTCTGTACCCACGGTAACAAGCGCCCAAAGCAGGCTTTTCGATAGAAATGAACGTGGCAAATAAATTTATACATTTTTATACATAAAGCTAATTGACTAATTGACTGATTGATGCAATGATTAGCTGACTGAATGACTAACGCACTGATTAAATGACTGATTGACTGAACGACTTAATGCATGACTAGCTGACTGATTGACTGAATGGTTGAATGGCTGATTAAGTGATTGACTGAGTGATTGACTAACTCATTGATTAGTTGACTTATTACCTGACTGAGTGAGTGAAAGACTGATTGAATGGCATGTCGATTAGCTAACATATTTATTTACTGACCACTGATTGACAGACTGATTGATAGATAGAATGGCTCAGAGTGACTTTATAAATGACTGGTTGACTGATTGACTGAGTGACTCTGTGACTAATTGATTGCGTGAATAATTGATTGACTGAGTGAAAGATTGATTAACTGATTTACTGATTGACTGATCACAGCCCAAGTGGCAACCGCTGAGAAACTGCATTTTTCCACAGTTAATTCGTGAACCTTGGAAAACGTTTTAATAAATTTAGGAAAAAAACTGGGCTTGCCAAGAAAATTAGATATTCGATTGCCAGGAAATGTTCGCTCGAGATGAATCACATCTGAATCTAGTATATAAATAATATATTTATATATATATATATAAAAGCTCATATACCTTGTGTTGCTTCCTTCTGTAGGGTATATAAAAAGAAAAAAAGCTTTGACCTGAGCGCGAGGTCAAACAGCTGCTGATTATAAGTTTGCACCGACGGCTCACTTCGCTCGAAGCTCAGTTGCTAGCGACATTTAAACTGAAATCGAACGTGTGAACATTATGAAATTCTTGGCACTGTTGGCGCTGCTTTTGATCTGGCAAAGTTCTGAGCTGGGCAATGCATTACCCAACAGTGCGTAGATTAGCTTACAAGTTTGCGAAACAATTAATAATCGGTTAATATGCATTTCAGGTGAACCCATGTCGGCGCCGCTGACAACACACAACGAAGACCTCAAGTTCAGTCCGCGCCTTCTGGTGACGCCCGTTAAAGACGACGTGAAGCCCATTCGAGGCACTGAGAATCCAGTTCGACTGGCACGCAAATTGCTATTGGAATTGAAGCTGTACAATCTGGTGGACGAGGTGGTGCAGGCCAAGCATATAGACGATACATTTGGCAAGGGGCTGCTCTTCGAGATGGGCAACCCGCTGCAGGCCAACGAAGTGGTGCAGGCCTGGGTCGATCCACCCGGAGAACTCTGCAAGCAGCTGCACGTGGCGCAGGACCTACGCAATTTCTACGAAGCACAGATATCATATCGGACATTATTATAAATTTGAAATTTTAAGACAATAGAGCTGAGAGAAGTAGCTGCAAAAGGTTAAGTATTCGCGTTCTCGCTCTCACTTGTTATATCTGCTTGTGTGCAATATATAGAGGGAGAGAATGAAGAAAGAGCGAGTGTCAGAAGGAGAAAGTGCAGAGACAGAGCGAAGACTGTAAGCTGGAATAGTTATCAATTTATCGCATTAGCTTATTCCAAGAATATAACTTTTCTTTCATAATACGGGTGATTATGTGGCATTTCACCTTTCCTTGGGTGGAAAGCGTGGAAAGCTTTAGGTGGAAACTTTTTCCATGTCTTTAAACTCGCCTTTCAATGCTTTGAGAATATTTTCACCCTAAATGTAAGTATATATATATCTAGTCTTTCGCGGATCACCTCTCATTTTTATTGGCGTGCATGCAAAATTTATCAACACGCTTCGCATCGATATTGGAAATTCCACCCGCAGAGGCGGAAAATAGATGGAATTCTTTTTTTTTCGTTTATTTTTTTTTTGCATTTGATTTGTTCAAAAAGACCTATACAGCAAATCTTTTAATATTTTGCTGCAATTTTGTAAAATAATTGAGTAAAGCTGAAAGAAAGGAGGACAAAGCAAAGCACTTTGTGCGCACAAAGCGCGCTTAAAAGCAGCTGCTAGTCGAACAATATGCAACTGAAACTTGAGATTATGCCACGCCCACCTGCCTAGAAACAGGCCACATTTGCTCACTAATGGCGGGAGCATTCAACTAAAATGCTTACGACATAATCATATGCTTAACAATTCATATTTTCCTCAAGGGCCGCATGCTGGGCGGAGGAGTGGGGAGTGGGATTGACGGAACGTAATATGTACGAGACAATCGGATTTGATGCTCATCATGATGATGTTCAGGCGGGGGAGAGGGAGATTTGTGTACCATTTTTTGTATTAACCCTACGTGAAATCATAGAGCAAGCTATAACTAACTGGATCTTGGGGGTGGGCTAGTGCGGGGTTCGGGTGGGATTGGGGTTGGGGTTGGTTGGTTTTGTGAGCGAGTTTGATGCTTGTCAAACAAATTATAAGCCGCTGTCGCGCTGCCAGCCACAAACTCAAGTTGCCAAGCGAAAGCGGTTTATGTAACTGTTCTTCCTGCTGACGGTTGTCGTGCTTGTTGTTGTAGCTGTTGTTGCTGTGGTTGTTGCCTGCAGTTACTGCTGCCAAGTTGTTGGCCCTGTGGGCGGCACAGAGGCTTAAGACTAATCCGCATATGGAAAATTATATAATATGCATGAGAATTTCAAGCAGATACAAGCGAGTGTGCGGGCGTGTGTGCATGTGTGTGCGTGTGTGTGCGTGGATCGACTTCGGATGGATATGGACTAATGCTGACAAAGCAATTTTCACAGTGACACATTTTCAGGCTCACACACACACACAACTAAATAGCGAGGGCTGTCATGGCAATTGTAGTTCAAGCAGAAATCGCAGTCTACAACTTTTGCTGCCCCAAAATGTTGATAATTCTTATACAGTTTAAAAGCCACTGCCTTGTGCTTACAGTTTTGCAGTCAAGAACCAAATAATCAAAATAAACTCTTTTAGAACACATGATAATATCAGCTTAAAATTGATGGAATTAGATTTCTAGATAGAATGAATATAAGTATTTTCTATAGATTTCTATTTGCATCTGTTTTAAACTGTTTTTAGCCTATCAAAAGAGTATTGTGCAGTCGGCTTGCACTTATTTTAATTACTTAGGGCACAACTTAAAAGACAACCCTCGTTTAAGGATACATGTGCTGTGCACTCACATATTGTGTGTGCGTGTGTGTGTGTGTGCACTTTACTTTTTCGAGTGTAATTTATTTGCAACATGCACACACAGAAACACACCCGAATAAATATAAGCATAAATAATAAAAGCATATTAGTGTACATTTTAATTCGTTTTTATTAAAATGCGCGCAGGTAAAATGCGTTGCCAGGTGGGCGTGGATGGGGGCTGTTAGCTGGTTTGTTTGGTTTGCGGCTGTCGGACGGGCCGACGGACGCGCTGAAGTGCGGAAGACGCACTTACATCAGTGCACAATTTTTACATTTATGTGCAGACAGAGAGAGAGAGAGAGAGAAAGAGAGAAAGAGAGAAAGAGGAAGAGAGAGAGAGAGAGGGGCAGCTTGCTGAGGCCAAGCTGAAATGCATATTTCACTCTTCATACGCCCCATGTGCCGTCGTGGGAAATTAAAATAAAAGCCAAACACACACGCACACACACACACACACACACACACACACACACAACACATACTCAGCACACGCACACACACCGACACATGTCTGCAATGCAATTTTTGACTTTTTCCGGCATGTCCGAAAAATGCGCAATAAAAATATATATTAAAAAAAAGGCGAAAGTTTGGCACTCGCTGGCGAAATGCAAGTGAATTGCGGTTTGATGGATTTTTATATTATTTCACTTATTTTCCTTTTTTTAAAATCTTTTTACATTCCACACTTAACGTACCTGGCTAAAATGTGTAAATTGCCGCTTGTGCAATTTTTGTCAGCTGAGCGAGTTTCGTTTGTTTTTTATAATACTCTATCATGTATACAAATAATATTAAGACCAGATCAAGCACGACTATCTTTCGCTTTAGCAAGGCAGTACGAACTAAATATAAATATGTAGATACTCTTTCCGGGCGTAAGGTCTTATATGCCAGTCCGTAAGAATTTGGATGCAACCGTGTATAGTTGGGCTTTTTATAAAGGCCCGCAGATTTTTATATCTGAGAGAACGGAACGTGTTGTGATGTCTCTTGCTTCCCTTTACAGAATCTGCCTGTGTCTGAGATCGAAATACCTGAGGATATGTTCTGTTTATTGAGCTTTTATTCTTGAGAAACCGAAGTCCTGACTAACATCTAACAACAAGGCTGTTGAGTGCTTCTAGCAAATTCAGCTGCTCCTGGAAGAACGACTTGGAATATATATAGCCTCCATTAAGTCGCTGATCCTCTAGGCTCAACCTAATCAAATTTGAGCCAAACTATATGCACAGTGCCTAAGTCTGCCTTTGTCTGTCTTTCAAATAAAGTTTAGAGCAATTCCTCGATTTTAGATTGGTTGTAAAAATCGTGCGTAGCTTTTAATGCAATTGTGCATTCTCTTAATCTGAGCATTATTACCTTATTAAACTTGCTGCTGCAGTTTTTAACGTAGCCACAAATTTAGCCTGATTATCGAACGTAATTAGCCTGACAAACGGAAGTATGTCCTTTATACGTTTAACTTGAGGTGCAGGGCATAACATTTGCTGGCAAGTGTGGCATGAAATAAGTGTGCGATATATTCATAAATTATGCGCCTTTCATTGCCAATTAGAAAATCTTGATTGCCAGCCGCACACAGACACACATACACACATATACACACACACATACACACATCGCCTGCAGTTGGTGGCGACAAAAGGAAAAGCGCCACGCAGGCAGCCACAAGGCAACCCCAAATGAAGCCAATTAGTTGACGTAATGCTAACGACGATGCTGGGCTCTGGCTGAGAGGAAGCAGAAGAAACTGGGAGGGGAGGGGAGGAGGGGGGGGGGGGCAGTTTTTGAACTGCCTGCAAAATGGAAACATTTGAAGCTAGCGTCAGCCTGTTCCAGTCACTCCCACTCCCACTCCCACCCTGTCTACCTGTCTACCTGTGTGTAGCTGGGGTGCCACTCGCTTCGAGTGGCTAATTAATACGCCCCGTTGCACCAAAGAGTGACACAACTAGCCACGCCCCCTACCAGAGCCAACGTCTGTAATGAGCGTTGCGAGTTAATTGGCGTGTAAGAAAAGGTAAAAGGCAGGCTGCAAAATTTAACAAAATTTTATGCTTCTCAAAAGGACATTAATTAGAAGTAATTGCCGCCGTCTAATGAGCTTGTTTTTTTTTCTCGCATTTTTTATTTTGAACTCCGCCAACTTACGATCTAATTTATAACCTGTCAATAGTCACGCCCAGCTCGTTTTAACAGGCCGGCAATCAACTCATATTTCATGGCATGTTCGACTGTCATTTGGGGCGAAATTGAAACGCGAAAAACAATCAAAACTTTCACGTTAGGCAAATCAAAAAAGCCCGAACGCAGCACAAAATATCGAACGGCAAAACTTGTGCACACACTCCAATACATATTTTTATGCAACGCCCACGAAGCACACTATACGCCGCCCCGCCCCGAGATTACAGGTGGGGGTCTACCTGATATGCTCTATAGGCCTCACACTCCATTCCCCAACAACAACAACAGCAATAACACGAAATAAACCGCCCATCACTTTGGACTGCCTTTGTTTTTATGCGATTTCAATCAATGAAACAACAACAATAACAAACTGGAATTTCATTGTCGAATGTTATCGACTTGGATAGATACTCTGTATACCCTAACATTAACTAGAATGAGCTTAAAATGGAAGCGTTGCCAAACTCAATACTTTCAAAATACTTAAGAATGCTTGAGTCTCGATATTTATCGATTTTGGGCTATAAAGTCGTTATTATATGGAATCTTCCATATTTTAATAGCTATACTCCAAATTTATTAGAGTATTTTTAAATATATACATTTGCGGCATTTAAGTCATACATACAAAATGAACTCAAATTGCCTATCGATACTTATCGACTATTAAAATATTAATTATTTATATTAATCGATAAATATAAAAAGTTTTATATTAAAAAAAAAACATTTCAATTTAGCAAATATGTACTAAAGTTTTTAGATATATTTTTTAATTCAAAATAAGCCAAATTTATAAAGTTAATCAGAAGCTACATACCAAAAAGTCAACTCCTTAACATCTTCAAGCATTCCGGAATCTGCGCAGCCTTAAAGAAAATAAAATAGATAACAAATCAATTTAAATCACTTTGGAGCATTTTATCAAGTCTCTAAAGTCAATATGATGAAGTTAGAGAACATAATGAAGCATAATGAAGACAGCAAATTTATATTTTCCAGCTCATTAATTCTTCCATATAATATATCTTAATCGAAGTAATCGAAGGAAATATTATTTCTAGGATAATTTTGATGGGTGAGAGCCCACATGCAATAGTTAGAATCTCTAGCTTCAATAAGCTCAACATTCTTTTAGAAAACCTTTAATATACATATGGGTGAAAATCGATTTGATCGAAATACATGATAGTTAATAGTTTGATACTTGCCC